TCGCCCTTGGGATAGGCAGATACTTTGGACTGGGAAAGAGATCCCCATGCCCCCTCCCAGTAGCCCTACACCAGCCCCCTCACCCCCACCAGCGCTGTCATCGTCCTCCCAGAGCTCTCTATGTTTCCAGCCAGCAGGCCGGGGTCCATACAACCCACTTGGGGTTTCTCATGGTTTTTCTGGTGGCTTTACTCCTTTCAGGGAGATCGATGGTTGCTCAACATTTTCTGCTGTTGCAGGTCAATCCAGGCTTACACTGAGCAGGCAATAAAACATTTGAGGAGCAGCAGCTGCGAGGTGTCTGTCCGCCTCTCCCCCTCTTTAACCTTAATCCAGGAACAGGCCAGCCCTTTCCTCCTCACCACAGCTTCATCCTTGCTCGAGGTGATGCTGTGCTGCCCTCCCTGGCTGCAGGGCCACCACCATGAGGGCACGATGGCAGCATGGCCAGGCAAGTGCTATTCCAGAACTGATGAGGAAAGAAACGAAAGTGCTGGCAGACCCCCCTGCCCTGCCACTGCCATGTCTCTCATCCTCGCTGGCAGTCACTCTATCCCATCCCTGGTACCAGGGCTCTGGCAGCACCATCCATCAGCACCAGCTGCCCACACTGTCCATCCTGGCAAAGGCAGAGAAGGGAGGGGAGAGACTTGGATTTGACAGGGCCAAACCTGCTTTTACCTGTGGGTCATCGCATGTCCAGCAGCCAGTTCTCAGGCTGCCAACTCTCTGCTGTGACCGGGAGAGACCTGCAGTCATGGGAGGCCTGGCAGTGCAGCTCTGGTTTGATAGGAACGCTATGGCAGGAGTGCAGAAGAAAAGGACCCAGAAACACCTGACTCACCCACAGCTGTGGGTCAGGCCTGCCCCTGAGCAGGAGCCAGGGCCAGTGGGGAAGAGCTATCTAACCCGCAGGGCCGGGGCTCAGCAGCCAAATGCTTCCCGAGAGCACATCCCTGGCAGCACCATAGCTCTGCATGGACCCTGGCAAGCAGCAGAAAACAAACTGCTGCTCGTACCCCGTGGCTGCTTCCCCGGGCTCGGCTGCCAGCTCCCGAATGCCAGCACGGCTCGAGGGGGGCCGGGGCTCCCCGGCGGGGAGGGCTCCGGTGGTACCACCCCTGCGCCTGTTCTGCCGAGGGGCATCCCCGGTCAACGTCAAGTTCAGGTGACCAGGGCTCCGGGACGGGCACGAGCGACGATAGGCTCTTGCCTGGTGCTCTGATAAGAAAGAGGAGACATTTAACACCCTCCCCCGGGAGTGCTTTCCCCTTCGCCTTTCCTCCTGCTGTGGCTTAATTTCGTCTTTAGCCCCCTTTTTCCCTTAGTGAGATCAAAGGAATCCATGGCACCGGGCATATTTCATCGGAAACGTCGATTAAAGGGAGTGGGGGAGGCGGCGCTGGCGGAATTAGAAGAGGAGGAGGAGGAGCAGGAGGAGAAAGAGGAGGAGCAGGAACAGGAGAAGGAGCAAAAGAAGGAGGGGAAGCGAGGCTGGAGGGAGCACCTGGCTTCATGCGGTGTCCTGGCAGGATGGGCCGGGCCTGGCGGCGTTGGCGACACCGGGGCTTGGGCGGCGGCGCTGCGGGGGCCTGTGGCTCCTCCGGCCGTGGCTCCAGGGCTCCGCTCGGCGGCTCCGCCGGGCTCCTACTGATCTCTGCCGCCCCGGCCAGGCCCCCGCCGCCCGGCGTGGGACGGCATGGCGCCCGCTCCCGGCCGGTGCCCCCGGGGCCAGGGCGGTTCGGGGAGCCCGGACACCGGCCTTGCTCTCCCCGCCTCGGTGGGCCCCCCCAACCCCCACGGGCTGTGCCGGGCAGAGTTGCCACCTCTGGGGGTCCTGGCCCCGGCACCACTCCCCCTCCGTGACTCGCCCTGCTGAGGGGGAGGAGAGGCCTACGTGGTGTGGGCTGCGCTCGGGCAGGGGCTACCAACATCCCACCCGAGGGTGCCACGGCCTCGGTGTCCCCCAGCGCATCCCTGAGCCGGGGCCATCTCAGGCCCCTCAGCCACAGGCGCATCTGGCCGCAGCATCTCCCGTGGCCGCCGGCCAGGGAAAGGGATGTTTAGGGAATGAGTAACATCCTTCCTGGCAGGGCCGCTGCCCGCTCCTGGAAGCTGCTGCAGACACAGAGGAGCTCAGCCCCTTTGCCCGTCTCTTGCCCCACTTAGCCGGTGAAAAAAGCAAAGAGCGGGAAGAAACCTGGGGATGGGGCCAGGGCAACTGAAGCCCATGGAATCCACAGGAGTGCCAGGTGCCAGGGAGAAGGGAGGGAGGATGCTGCGTGGCATGGTGGGAGGCAGCCAGGAGGCACAGGTTGGGGGAGGCAGCTACAGGCCCCCTCTGGAGCCGGGCTGGAAGCCAGAGCCTGGCTGAGTGCTGCCAGAAGCAGCTTATTTTGGAAAGCAGGCATCTTGGCAGAGCACTTGGTGTGTGGAGCTGCTGACGCTGGGGAACAGGACGGCTGTCTCATCAGGTCCCAGCCATGCCTCGCAGGCTAACGCTGCTTGGCTTCAGCCCTCAGCTGAATCTGCCCCAGCACAACCAGGACTGGATCCCCTACTCCTGAGTCACCCATTGCAAAGGGGTTTGGACGTCCCAGTCACAAACTGTCACAATGCCCAGGGCCACAACTCACCCTGAACACCAGAGGGACTGCCTGGGACTCACCAAGCAGGACGCACAGAGCTCTCACTAGCTCTGACCCATGGGGCCAAGTACAAGCTCAAGCCTTGAACAGAGAAAGAGAGACACATGGGGTTAACCCCACCCCTGGATGCTGCTTTCCCTCTCCTCAGCTCCCAGGAGCAGTACCAGCCCCGCAGGGAGCCCAGTCCCTCCCACTGCTCAGACTGAGGGACTCAATGGGGTCCAGCCCAGATCTGGAACAGCACTGGCAGGGTGCAGTGGCATTCAGCCATGACCAGGGCTAGCAAGGGCTGGAGGGAACCCAGACTTCACAGCCAGAAACTGGACTTGCTTTGTCTTCCTCAGTGCCCTGCTGGCACCCATGGTGCTGAGGAGCCAGCACAGGCAGCTCCCTGCCCCTGTCCTTCCAGAGCGGGGCCAGGAAGCACACCTGGAGCAGGCTGCAGTTAACAGCCCCTTGCTGTGCCTGGACATGGCTCAGGAGCTTCCACCAACTGCAGGTTATGTGTGGCTTGGCATGCCCCGAGTTTGGTCAGGTCTCAGCCCATCCCACAGCGGGACCCAGCTGTGAGCAGGCAGGCAGCCTCATCCGCCTGGGGACGGAGCAACCAAGCTCCCAACACGAAGCAGCTGGCCCTGCCCTTCGGAGCCACACACTGCAGCATTGTGGCCCAGCTGGTTTTTCCAGAGATGCATCCAAGGGGAGAAATCAGATCTCAAGGGAAGGGAGCAGGCCTGTTCCTGACTGCACAGAGGAGCTGTCGAGGCAGTGCCAGGAACTGGGGTAGTTGCTGGGCACCGCAGCAGGCCAAATGCAAACTAAGCAGGCAGCTCAAAAACCTGGGCTGTACCTCACTGCCCAACTCCAGGAGCTGCTGAGCCTTTGTAGAGCTCTGTTTCTAAACTCTGTGGCAGAGCTGCCCTGCCCTGGCACTTCCTCCAGCTTTGTTTTACACCATCGGATATTAAACAACTGGCCCCGAGGGCTGGGATGGGGGAAGGACCCTGCTGGGGAGCAGGGAAGGACTTTTGGAAGGAAAGCTCTTGGAGGAAAACAGAAAAGCAATGTTGGGGAAAGGGAGTTCCCTCCACACAGGGAGGGTGTTTTTGGTCAGGGCTTGTCTAGACTGGAGTCACCCACACTGCGCAAGCACATCGACACCATGCAGTCAGTATGGGGCTCCCTACTGTTCCCAACAGGACAGACAGGCTGCACTCAACAAGGGTGGGCAAGAGCCGACCCCAGGACTGGTCATCCCACTGCCAAAGGGACTGGGTAGACCCTGAGGCTTCCAGGGTGCTGCTTCCTGGTGTCCCCTATTGCTTCCCAACAGTCAGAGGGCCCTATGCCCACCAGCTCCCCAGCCTGGCCCTGTCACCTGTCCCCACCACAACCCTTGAACAGTGGAGGGACATGGGGCAGCTGTGCCAAGGCTCTTGGCTCCCTGCCTTCCCTCAGCTCTGGCTGCAGGAGCTGCAGGCACAAAACATCACTTTTTCCAAGAGCCTTTCCCTGCCTTCCCTCCTCCCTTGCAAGCAGGGCCATGGAGGTTCCTGGGTCAGGGCAAAGGCAGGGATGGGTCTTGGAGCCACTTGCTGGCTGCATCTCTTCTTACCTCTCAAAGGGGCTACCTGGCTGAAGCACAACCCCCCTGAATTCAATACATCACAGGCACAGCATGGGCAAGGAGCACCTGGCCCTTGGGAGGCTGCTGCTCCCATCAGCCCTGGTCAAGCCCACCTTTCACAGCACAAGTGGGAGAGGGGCTTAGTGGCCCTGACAGCCACCACCACCCGCCAGCAAACCTACAGCTAAAGAGGGGCTTCAGACACCTTTCCCTTGGAAAAGAAAACCCTGAACACTTAAGCTCATCCTCCAAGGCCAAGAACATCCATGGAGTAAGAGAACAGGCTTGACACAGACATTCTTTAAGGATGATCTAATTATAAACATTTTTATAAAAACACATCATAGTGAAAATGCATGTATTTTAAAGAGAGACCCACAGCACTCCAGTGCTGGAGGCAGCTGCATGTCTGCAATGGGACTGCTCCATACCCATTGCCCCCCCTTCCCGTGTTCAGCTCCACATCCCCATTTATTTTCCTTTACCACAGAAAGTGTCTCCCTAGTCCCCCACACACCCTAAAGCATCAGCTGAAGCTGCAGGAGCGACAGAGGCCGGAGCAACCCCTTGCCCAAGCCAGGCATGAAGCAGGTGGGGGACAAACAGCCCTCACACCCAGGACTGCAGCATCAGGCACTGCCAGAGAAGAGCCTGCCCAGGCACCCATTGCTCGCACCAGCTGCTGGTGGGCAGGACTGCTCTTGAAGGTAACCAATGGAACAAAGAAAAGCTCTGGATTGCTTTAATCCTTTCCAAAAAAGTATAGCTAGCCCAGTAGTTGTCCTCCTCTCTCTGTGCCTGTGAGGATTTGTACTCAGAAGGCTGGATAATTTGACAGGGACAACACACACTCAGCACAGGCAAACTCAGACTTGCCAAGGAGTTTGCTCTTCGCTCAGTGTGCTTTGCCAGCCCAATAAATCCATCCTCACGTGCCACCCTCCCCTCCCTCCCCTTCCTCCACGTGGAAGGCTGGGACAGCAGCTTTGGAGCATGACTCAGATGCACAGGGGTTGAGGACATCCCCTTCCCACAGGCAGGGCACTGGCATCACCAGGTACCGGCAAGCACAGCAGCACTGTGGGCACGGGGAGCTGGGCACCACAGCACTGCGGGAGTGGGAACAGGCAGGGCTGTCCTGCTGGCACCTGTGGCAGCCAGAGGCACCAGAGCCACGGAGCCAACAGTTAATATAGAGCCAGCATCCCCATCCCTGAGCCAGGAGCAGAGCACGGCAAGGGGCAGGTCTGCAGTCCGGTGTGCGCGGGCCGTGCGCGGCTCACGGGGCGCCGCGGTAGCTGTAGTGATTGTGGTCAGGGTCGCTCAGGGTGAGCGGCAGGCTGGGCTTGCGCTCTGGGTCCTTCTCCTCACACTGCTGTGGGGGACGGTGCTTGAAGAAGTCAGAGACGTAGCGGACCTGAAAAAGACCAACAGGAAGGTTTGGGGACCCCTCTGTCAGCCGAGCAGGAACCTGGTCAAGCAGCAGGTTGCACAGGGGACACTCACAATGAGGACGGCAATGAGAGCCCCTTGGAGCAGCCCCACCAGCACGTCGCTCCAGTGGTGCTTGTAGTCGGACACCCTGGTGTAGCCCACATAGATGGCGAAGGTGATGAGGAAGAACTGGATGGTGGGACGCAGCAGCCGGGCCCACTTTCCCACCAGCCGGGCTTGCACATAGAGCTAGGGAGCAAAGATGGGAGCAATCACCCAGAGCAGGGGGCAACAACTAGCCTGATAATGGGGTGCTTGGGGCACGGGACCCGTGGGGGCTGGCTGCCTTCCGGTGGCACAGCACTTACCGCCAAGAACATCATGCAGTACATCCCAAAGGAGGAGTGTCCCGAGTAGAAGGACAGTCTGTGGGGCAAAAGGAATGGGTCAGGTCATGAGAACAAGCCCTTAGCCAGCCCCCACAAGCCCCCTAGCCACTCCACAGGCTCTGCCGTGCAGCAGGAGAGCATCAATACTCATCTGGGGCTGCCACTGGGAGCCCAGCATTGCTTGGCAGAGGGAGGAGATGAGGTCCTGTGGCCCGACAGCTCACCTGGACTCAGTGATGTTCCTGCTCTCTCCCTGGCAGACATTCTCCAGCTGCACATAGATGGAGCAGTTCACCTTGGACCAGTCAGGATTGCAGACAGCCAGGAAGTTTGGCCGAAGACGGCCGATCATGTATTTGGCCAGATCAGTCAGGGACTGGCTGATGGCCCCCCCAAAGAGAAAGGTCCCCACCACCTTGTAGAGGGCAGCCAGGTAGTTGTTGAACTCTGACTTGGAGTAGAGGCGCTCAGTGTAGACCAGGTATGCCTCCCCCGATGAGATCTGCAGAGACCAGGGGGCAAGGGGTGAGGTTTGAGCACTACTGAGTTGCTTCCCAGAACCAGGGCTGCAGGATGCTCTGGCTCTTGGCTCTGTGGCAGAGGAGCCCCTGGCATCCGCCTGCCACAGGAGCTCATGGACCCTCTCCCTGTCCCTTCAGGGAACCAGCTCTGCAGGACGTGGGTCTCGCCACCCCAATGGAAGCTCCTGACCCCCAGCAGAGCAGCGCTTAAGCTGAGGGTCCTGTTGCCCTGCCAGGGCTCTGGAGGTGGCTGTGCTGGGCCCCAGCTTCCAGATACAACATCAGGATGTCCCTGCCCTGGAGAGAAGGGGGTGGCCCATCCTTACAACGACAACAGTGCAGGTGATCGTGACCCCAGCCATGAGACCGTGGGTGATGGTGTCTGCCTTGTAGGGGTAGCGGATGGAATCATCACTGCAGTAGAAGCCTCGCTTGTACGGGGAGTTCACCAGTGTCAGGATGATGAAGGGCAGAGATGCTGCAAGGCAGAGAGAGGCGAAGACTGGGGACGCCAGCCAGCAGGCTCCACACTGGCATGCAGCACCGTGTGGTCTCCCCATCTGTCGTCCCTGGGGCTCTGCTCCCTGATGCCGGGGAGGAATCCCCTCCAGGAATGAAGTCCTGAGCCACCTGTACCCCGGGCAGGAGGACTTGAACCCGCCCCGACACCGATAGGGCCCTATCAAGAGTTTGCAGATGCCTGCAGCGCCCAGATACCACATGAGACAGCCACAACTGGGCACCTGCAGAGCCCCCACGGCTGTCCCACTCCTCCCCAGGCACAACTGTGGCAAGGCTTGATCTTGTGCCTTTTCCTCATGCTCCCCAGAGTCTTTCAGCCTAGAAGACAGACCTCATTAAAATTAATGAGCACAGGCATCTTGCAAAACTGTTTTACAGCAGCAAAGGGCCCCCAGATGGTCCCAGCAGAACTCTCACAGCAGGCCCAGAAGAGCTGGTGCTGGGCAATGCTGGTGGGTGATCCAGCCCAGCTTGGCTTGTCCCTCTCACCTTCCCGCAGCCCTTGCTCCTACCAGCCTCTTCACTCCCCTGCCACCTCGGGGCTCTTGAGAGATGATGCGCTGGTCAGTTTGGGAAAGGAGGTTTTTCCACCCAGCGTTCTGCAATCCTGGCCATGGGCAGCTACGAGCACACCCGGGAAAGAACCATCCCAAGAGATCCAGAGGAGTTTGCGGGCCTCTGCCCCGCGCAGTAGCCGTGCCAGCCCCTCGCTGGAAAGGGATCCCCTGCCCCATCCCTGCCCAGGAACAGTCAAGGACGGGCTGGGCGCCCCCACCCCGGGGGTCCCAGGGTGCTCCCCCCGGGAAGCGGCCCCCCGGCCCCGCAGGCCACCTTAGGTCAGTCTCCTCTCCCTGTTCCGCCTTTCCCGGCGGTTTCCGTCTCCTCTTGTTCCTCCGTCTCCTGGGAACCCGCACCTTTGTCCCCGCCCGCCCCCGCCTCCTCGCTCCCGCCCCGGGGGTCCCGCCGCCTCCTGCGCTCACCGACAGAGGGGGGAGCACGGCGATGAAGCACCCGGGAGCTGCCCCACCGCCCCCGCCGCGCTGCCGGGAACCGGCGCCGGTCCCTCCCGGCCCCGCCGCCGCCTCCCCGCACACCTCAGACGTCCATTTTCAGCTCAAATTAGACACCAATTTTCTTTCTGGAAAATTTCATCCTCCAAAAAAAGCTCCCCTAAAAATATAAAGCACCGGCCCACAGGAGGGAAACGCGCCTTGAGCGGCACCGGGACTCGTCGTCCCCCCCTCCGCCCCCGCGCCGGGGCCCGCAGCCCGGGAAGCTCCGGGCCTTTATTTTCAGTCCGTCTTAATTCAGTGCTTCCCTGCAGTTTCAGAAACGAGCATTTGCCCGCACCGGGCGGTGGGGGACGTCCTGGAAGAGGCCCTCTGAACCCACCCGTCCGGGGCTGCGGAGCCCCAGCCCCGCTCCGTCCGCCCGTGGAGCGCCGGGCTCGGCGGCGGGCAGGCGGCCAGGGCGGCGGCGGCGGCGGAGGAAGCGTCCCGGTGCCGCCCGAGCGGCGGGACTCCGTCGCTGCCTCCCGGCCTGGGACGGACCGTAGCCCCCGGGGGGGCGCTCGACCAACGGGGTCGCCCCGGGAACCGGGACTCCCGACGGAGCCCGGTAGCGCAGGGGCAGGAGCCGGTGCTCGCCCGGCCCCGCCTGTGGCTCCTGGAGGAGGCCCGGAGCCCCGGGACAGCGGCCGGGCAGGTGCCTCCCGCCCTGCCCCCGGACCGGCGGCACCGGCCACAGGCAGGAGCGGGCGGAGGCGCGGCGGGATCCCGGCCCCCCTGTACCTCCCGCGGATCTGACCCCAGCCCGCGGCGCGACCCCACCGAAGGCACGGGCGGGACGCGGTGACGCTCCGGAGTCGCCCACGGCGGGGGTACCGGTACCGAGCCCTCACCGACCGCCAGGCAGAGCACGTCGAGCGCCACGAAGACCTTCCTGCGCTCCATCCCGCAGCCGGTGAGGCCCCGCGGCCCGGCCCCGCGGCTCACATGGCCCGGAACGACGCGGGCCCGGCCGGGAGGTAAAGTCCGGGCTGGCGGGGCGGGGCGGCAGCCGGTGCCTCCGCCCGGGGCCGGGCCGGGGCGGGGCGGGAGCGCCGGGGCCGGGACCGGGGCAGGTGTGGGGCGCGGCGGGAACCCCTCTGGACTTAGACTCTCCTCGCCCCTCGCCGCTTCCTTGGGCCCCGCTCCGGCGTCCTCGGCTCCGGCCCTCTCGAGTCCCCCGGTGCCCGCCCCGCCTGCCTGGTCTCCCCGCCTTGGCTCGGCTGCCTCCCGTCGCTGCGTCAAGGGAAAAGGGGAGAAGGAAGAGAGAGAGGCCGCTTTGAGAGCCGCCTGTGCCCCAATCGCCTCGGGCCTATGTCCTGAGGAGAAAAGAAAAAACGGAGGAAAAAAGGAAAATCCAAGAAAGGCAGAACGTGGCCCCAAAAACGTTCTGGCTGCACGGGCAGGGACGGCGAGGGCTTGTGCAGAGCAGATGCGGGGCTGACTCGGTGTCGAGAGCGGTTGTTGAGGGGAAGGAGGGGCTCCTAGGAGCCTGTGGACGCAGCAGAGAGGCTGGTGGGAGCCCAGAGGATGAGACAGGAGCTATGATTTACCTGCCGAGATGTGGGGCCGTATTTCCCGAGCCTCAGACGTCCTGGGAGCAGGACAGGCTTCCGGTGCTGCCCTTTGGGGCTGGGGACGTGCTGAGCCAGTGGAACCCAGAGCAGGGACAGGAGCAGAGGTTGGAGCAACGGCTCCCGCAGCAATTCCCTGGTGGGAGCAGGGACAGTCACATCCTGGCTGTTTGTTCCAGGCCCGAAGCCTGGTTAGGAGTGGAAGGAAATGTAAATAATACAGAAACCACCCAAATGATAGCTGCGGGGCTGGATGATTGAAGTGCAGTGTGAGTGGCCTGTGGAGAATGTCAAGGCTGTTTGTGGGAAGCCGTCAGAGCTGGAAACACTCTGGGGCTGCCCTGGGGAGAGAGGCAGAATCACAGGCCAGCTTTCCTCTGCTCCAACCCACCCTGATGTGCCCCAGTGCAGCTCCCTCCTGCCTGTCAGTGCCATGGGGGCCCTGGCACAGCACTGGGGCAGGACTTGCCACAGACATGCTGCCTGCAGACCTCAACCAAGCAGGTGAGAGCCTCGAGGCAGGAGAGCTGGGGAGAAGCTGCAGGAGTGAGGAAGGCTGGAGCCCGTGGGACGCCCAGGTTGCGTCATGGAGGGGATGTGGGCATTAAATACAGTCTGTCTCACCGCTGATAAATCCCCCCTTCTCATCGCAGCCCTCAGCAGTCCTGCTGAGCCACCCTCGTGGCTGCCGTGGGAACACAGATGTGGCAGTGTGGGGCTCCGAGGGCAGGGCAAGGACCCCCGCTGCAGGCACACGACCCCGCGCTGGGGCGGGCAGGGGGAGCGCAACACGGCAGCGGCGCGGGCACTGCGGGACTTTGCCCCACGCGGGCCCGTGGCTGCCGGGCGGTGCTGGGGCCACAGGAGCCTCCTGGGAACGGCCCAGCCCCGCGCTCGGGGGTGTCATAGGGGCGGAAGGCGGCGACCCCGGGGGATGGGGGGTCCCGGCCGCCCCGGGCGCGGGTACCCGGGGGCGCGGGGGGGGCCCGGGCGCGGGGCTCTGGCTCCCTCTGCCGTCCGAGCGCTGCGGCTGCAGAGCCCGCCCGGGACCCTCCCCCGGGGCCTGGTGGGGCTGCAGAGCCCGCGATCTCCGGCCCTGCGGCTCTCACACCCTCGGGTCACACAGGGCCGAAAACAGCATTTCATTTCGAAGGATGCAACGAGGTGACCACGGCCACACAAGAGGGCTTCAAGCACACCCATCCTTCCTGCTGCACCTCGGGGCCTCAAAGGAAGCAGGAAACCCGCTCCTGTCCCCTGTGCCCACCCTCGTACCTACCTCTGCAGGGAGAGCCAGGGGGCTGCGTGGCCAGAGCCCCCCAAGGCCCCAGGACAGAAGGCCAGAGCCAGGCACAAGCAGGAGAAGAGAATTTAAAGAGTTTTTGATGGGACAGAGGGGCTTTGTGGTGGGGAAACACAATGCAGTTGCAGCAGGAACCCCCAGGATGCTTTTCCTGGCTGAAGTGGTGAGACATGGATGGACCCCTGCCTCTCACCACCACGGGCCTGCCACAGGCTGATGGGTTCAGAGAACTTGGGGCACCTGTAAGAGCAACAAACAGCTCCCTCTACCCACAGCGCCAGGGGGCAAAACTCAGCCAGGGATGCTGGGCGTCCTCCCAGGCTGGGATGGCATCCCTGGCACAGGGCATCCCACCCTGCCTGCAGGGCAGGACAGGATCAGACAGTGGAGGCAGAGACCCCTTTTCTTGCTTCTGCCATCACGACACATGGGACTGTTGCATCTTGGTCTACAAAAAGAAGACAGGCTTCTTACTCACTTTCAAATTAGGTTTTTAATTAAATAAATAACAGCGAGGGGTCTTCAAGGCAGTGTCACTTCACAGTGTAGGGCTGGGGGGCAAGGGAGAAGAGTCCAGCATTGGGCGGCTCAAAGTGAATGTGCTTTGTAAGAAGGAAAAAGAAAACCCCAACAAAAACCAAAACCAAACCTCCCCCCTCAGTGACTCCCCCTTCCCTGTCCCAGCCTTTTCCACCCCTCTGCCTCAAAGTTATGTGGATAAAGCCCACACTCTTGTTGAAAGACCCCATGCAAATTTGTAAACAACACTGAAAGACATAAAGAGATTTCTGCCTTCCCCAGCTCCTGTCTCCTTTCATTAGGGCTTGAAACAAACCAAAGAAAAAATGGTTTCAGAAAAACTAAGAATGTTCTCAACTGATGGAGGAGATGCCAAGGCCTGGCCCTCCCTGGGAGGGCTACCCATACTCTCACCCTGCCTCTTCTTCTCCCTTCAGCCAAGGAGATTCCTCTTGTCCCCAGGAAAGGGGAATCACAGCCTGGGCAGTTCCACTATGGAGCAGGCACTGGGAGCAGCTGGAGGGGAGGCCTCTGCCAACCACATTTGGCTGACAAAATGGTGCCAGGTGAAGGCAGCTGCTTGTGCCTGAGGCTCAGCACCTCCCAGCAGTGCTGGGGACCGAAGCAAATGCACACAGAACAGATTTGGGGCTTAGGAGATGAGACAAGGTCTAATCCTGCCGTCCCATGAGGCTGCTTCATCCTGCCTCTGTGCCCCAGCTGCGGGGCTGAGCACAACTTCCCAGGGCCGGGTAAAAGGAAGATGCAGGCTTGTGGGTTTAGGTACCTGCCAAATCCACTGGCAGCAGAGCCAAGTGCACAGTCACAGCCCCAAGGCCTCTACCAAAGCAAGCAAAAGCCCTCAACCCAAGCCCCCTCCCAACTGCAGAACACGGCTGGAGGAAGGGACCATCTGCACGAGGGCCTTGCTCAGCAGGTGAGGGGAGAGCATTCTCTGCATGGAAAAAGGGGAATGAGAACACGTTGGATTTAAGCCAGTGGCAAACACCAGACCTGGAACACATGTGGGAAGCAAAGCAGCTCTGGACCCCAGCACACCCATGGACAGGCCCCCGTGGCTCTGCACGGCAGGCAGTACCTTGTCACCACACAGGGCTACCCGTCACCTCCCTGAGCATGGCAGTAAAGACACACTTTCCTCCCAGAAAACAGTCTGCTTTGTGAGGGAGGGGCAGGGATGCCCAGGGTTGGTGTGCTCCCCTGCCTGAGACTGAGCTAGCACCAGTGTCCCAGGCTTCACACTCTGGGAGCTAAGTAACCTCATCCCTCTGCTGACAAATTGTTGGAACAAACTGGGAAGTTACAGAAATTTTCATTTGCAGTTTACCCTCTTGCACTGTGAGTAGGTGAGGATCAGGTCATTCCCCGCCAGCAGCAGAAGTGGCAGCACCACAATGCTCCGGGTGCTCTGTGGCTCTAGAAACTCTTATTTCTGCCCATACCAATTCTCCCTGGGCCAGCACTGCGTAGGAAGGTGAGAAGGACTCAAGTGCACACAATGCTGCTGCACCACACAGCATCCCCTTCCAAGACCTGATGCCTCAGCCCAAGGGTTGGACCAGGCCATGACCCACCTGCAGCTGGTGGAGAGCGGGCACCAGGAACACAGAGCTGCCTGAGGCTGGAAGCAGCAGTGTTTCTGCCTGTCATGATCCATAGCTGTTGGGAGAAGACTGCAGTAAGTGACTCCCACTGCAACACACTGCCTGTGGGAGAAGGGCCAAGACACTCCTCAGCTTCCCTTGGCATTGCCATGCCCGTCTCTGCAGTGAACTGCCCTGCGGCCTGGGCAGGCTGTGCTTCCTGCAGACCTCCCAAGCTCTCAGACCCCTGAACTGCATCCTCAACATGACAGAGACACAGCCCTGTTCTCAAAGCATTTCTGCCCTCAGACTGTCCCACTGGGGCCAAGGGACGCTTCCCCTGTCCTGAGGCAGGGACTCTCTGAGCAGCCTGGCGTCACCTGGGGTGATACGTGGTCAACAGAAGAGGGGGTGATGGACCTCCCCCCCAGGAAAGCCAGCCATCACTCTGTGTGATTGCATCAGGATACACTGGAGCAGAAAGGTGTTTGGTTTCACTGTAGCCTTGGATCAAGGAGGATGGAAAGACGGATTCTGACCAACAGCTCCAAACTGTCCCTACAGGACAGTGGAAGTTCCGGGATTTCACTCAGTCAGGTCAAAGTCCTTGCTGGGTCTGTGACAAATTTGTGACTGGAGACTCTCACTGTGACAGAGGCTCTGACTGAGCCACAGGTGCCGGGCAAGCCTGATGAGCAGTCAGGAAACTATTTACATCTCCGATGCCAATGAGACCAAAATCTGTGACCGATAAGGACACTTGCGCAGGGGCCACCACTGCCTCTGGGTCTCTGTCCAAATCCACAGGGCCAGCAATTAAAGGTAACCCCTCGTTAATGTCTGCAGGGAGAGTGAAGTCCATAGTTATCGTCTCACCAGAGCTCTGCAAAGTCTCCTGCTTCTCTGACAGTCCTGGTCCTGCCGGCGGCAAAGCAAAGAGCTCTGGCTCGGAGTGGGGGACAGTGTGTCGTTGGCAGGACGCTGAGACAGCGCCTGAGGACG